CATTTTTTTGAAACTATCGCCCCCGGACCCTGTGCCACGCACCTCGAGGCAAGCCGAAACAAGTCCATGTTAGGGTCTTAAATTCTTAGTTCTCACACAAAAAATAATGGTTTTATAATTTTATTGCCTTTTAAGAAGATATCTGCTCTAGTTCGCTCGCTTTGCTCACTCACTGAAGCTTCGAGAACCCCCTATTTGGTAATGTTGTTCATTCATTCATCCTAATAAAATATCTTTTAAAAAATCAATTAAAATTATAAAATCATTATTTTTTGTGTTAGAACTAAGAATCTAAGACCCTAATATGGACTTGTTTGGGTTTGCCTCTAGGGGCGTGGCACAAACGCGACTTGTAGAATTAGGATTGTAAATTGTTTTAAATCACATTAGCTACTTGAAGTAATGCAATTGAGGAAAAAAAGTGATTGTGGGCTTTACATGCTTGAAAATGTTTTATATGTTAGATTTTATTTTTAAATTTTCATTTGAATATGCTTTACATGATATGTTTATGTATTTTAATTTAAGATCATAGCTGTCAAGGCGCCTAGGCGAGCCTAGGTGACCACAGGGTGCTCAGTTGCCTAGGCGACTAGACGGGCGCCTAGGCGATGGAATTTGAAAGTATAAAATATATACCCCTACCCCTCTTAAGCTACTTTATTGGTTTTTTGTACTAACCAACATACCTGTATGCTAGCTATTAACAATAAAGTCATTAGAGTAAAACATAAAATGCCATAGCTAGCATCCAGGTCAACAAAAATGGGGGATTGCAGATAAGAAAAGAGTGAAAAATAAGGGGGCAGAGCTCCTGTTTCGTTCCCAACATAAGTTGTCCAAGAGGACGGTGTGGACTGTGTTTAAGGGGGTGGAGATCCTGTTTCAGGCTAAAAAAAATGGAGGAGGAGGATTGTTGAAAGTAAAAAAGAAGAAGTACCAGTCTGATTTTAGAAAGGCACATCAGGCGCACACCTAGATGCACCAGGTGTGCGCCTTTTGAAAAAGCTGCACCTAGGACCTTGGCGAGGCACATACCCTAAAATGTGCCTAGCCTCTGTGCCTAGGAATACCTTTTAAATCACTGCTTTGAATTCTCTGTGGAAGGCTATTAATGGCATTCTTCCCCTCTTCTTGAGCCTTATCAGGTATGATGCTTGTACTGGAAATAGGGTTCTTTTTTGGGAAGACACCTGGATTGGCAACTCCACCCTTAAGGACCTCTTTCCCTCTTTGTATTCCCTCTACCTCCTTAAAAATGGATCCATTCAGTGGTTTGGGTCTTTCTCCCAATCTTTTCTCTTAAGTTGGAATCTGGGTTTTGGAAGGGATCTGAGAGACTCTGAGCTAGACCAAGCCGGTCTGCTTCTTAAAACCCTTGGCCCGGGAAGTGTCTCTTGGGAAAATAAACACCTTGGACATCCAGCAAAAGAAAAGACCCAACCTTAGTATTTCCCCTAATTGGTTTATCCTTTGTAAAGCTAATGGAGAAAGCTGTTACCACATACTAATCTCTTGCCCTTTTGTTGTAACTTTGGGAGAAGATTTTTGGTTTTTTTGGTTGCAGGTGGACGATGCCCTTGCAAATTGGGGGACTCTTTGACCCTACAAGCTTTCGGTGGCCTAAGAGAAGAGGGAGAGTTTTATGAAGATGTGTTAGGGCTGCTTTTGTATGGATAGTTTGGGTGGAAAGAAATAACAGAGATTTCAATCATAAAGAGAGGGACGAGGATTCTGTTTGGGAGTGCTTGCTAAACAGGGCCATTAATTGGATTAAAAGAACTTATTTCACAATTCTCTTTAGCTGACTTGTGGAGAAATGAGAAGTGATTACAAACTCCTCTTCTACTAAGAACAAACCGGTTGTTGTTTGGAAGGCCCCTGAAGGGGGTTTTATCAAGCTAAACTTTGATGGTAGCAGCCTTGGCAATCCTGGGCCTTCTGGTATTGGAGGTGTGTTTAGTAATGCAGAGGGTCAGGTTGTCACCTTGTTTTCTGGTCCAATTGGAGTGGGTGATGTGGTTAGTGCAGAGGACTTTGGTGAAGGAGCACTGCTGGCAAAAGATTTAAACTTCACGAGTTTGGTCATTAAAGGAGACTGTAAACTGGTAATTGGGTGGCTAAAAGAGCCAGAGACTGTAGCGTGGTCATATGGGGGGGGGTGATGAGAAGATTTAAGTGGCTAACCTCCAACTTAACAGTTAGAGTTTGGTGGGAAAGGAGTTCAGCTATGGCAGATCTTTTAGCCAAGCAAGGGTGCGTAGGTATCAATTATTCTGGGCTCAGTTGTAATTTTCCTTTGTTTCTGAGGCAACATCTCACGCCTCTTTGTGGAACTCTATCATGTACTTTATGTTGGCTCATATTAATTATTCTTAATAAATCACTTTATTACTTACAGAAAAAAAGACAAGTTTACCTTGAGTTCTGAGCAATTTCCTTGGAACCCAAACTGGAATTTCTATTATTCTTCAAAGGCATTGTATATCTTCTTCCAAAATTTTGAAACATTTTCCTAGCAAAATCCTCCCTCCAAGAATATGTAACTCCAAAGTTTACTTACCTCCATTTCTACCTCTACCACCTTTTCCAAATCAATTGTAATCTCAACTGCCTGAGTCTCATCCGTGATCACTTCCTCGCTTCTATATGCACCTAGTAAGAAACTTAATATAGAAAGATATACTGGTTGCATTTGGCTGGATCTGTCTCAGATAGGCATTTTACCATAGGCTATTACACCTTTTTAAGAGGTAATCTAATAATGTGAACAAGTAATAAGGAAAGTGTGGTGGTGAGAAGCAGTGTAGAGGTTGAGTACAGAGCAATGGCTCATACTACTTGTGAGCTGATGTGGTTGAAGCATTTCTTGACTGAAATTGGATTTCCTTTCACAAAGCATATGCCAGTTTACTACGATAACCAAGCTGCTGTTTGTATTGCATCCCTGGGCCTGTTGTTCTGGGGAGGGGAGGATTTTGCGAGGAAAGCTTTTGAGCAGTTTGGTAAAGTTAGAAGGGAGGAGAAAAACAAAAGAGAGGAAAGTATTAAGAAGAATAGAGGTTGGGGCAAAGAAGAGGATGAGGAAGAGGTGCTGGGTTGAGGACTTGTGAGGGGTTGAAGCCCAAATTTTGTAAGAGAACTATGAAGAGGGGGTAAGGATGATGGGTGAGGATGAATTAAGGGTAGTAGGAAGGATGGACAGTTTGCGGTGGCTTCTTTTTCTCTATGCTGGGTCCTTTGGATTGAAGGAAGTAGAAGATAGTTGGAAGATAAGTCAAAAGTTCTGAGTTGCTTGTGATGATGGTGGACTGAGTATCAGTGCGTTTAGAATTGGATCGAAGTAGTTGATCAGATATGGGGGAATATTTTTTGGAATGTCCTCGAAATTCAAGTTTGTAATACTGAACAATTTTCTGTTCTTTAGTATGTTGCTGTTTTGTATTGGTGAGGTGTAATCTTGTCACCTTTCGGATTGTATTTTCCGTTTTTGATAATGATGATTTTCCTTTTACTCTTCAACAAAAAGTCCACTCTTCCATGTAGGAACCAAACATATTGATATAGGCTGTCATTTTGTATGGGTGAAAGTCCTTAGTGTAGAGATGACTACTCCCTATGTGAAGACTGTAGATCAGTTTGCAAATTTATCCACAGATTCCCAATAAGAGTAGGATGGGTTATATTTATAACAAGTTAGAGCTTTTACACATCTAGGCACCAACTTGAGGGGAAGTATTGATGTGTTAATATGGTCCCTTGTTATTTTGTTGAAGTGTTAGTGAGGTCTCATGTCATTTTATGTTAAAAGGTTTTGTATGGGTAGTTTTGACTTTTCTCTTGGTTATTTGAGGACACTCCAGTCGTTATTTTTTACTTAAAAGAGACACTGATGCAATTGATCAATTATTACTAATCTATTTATACCCTGCCACCTGGTAGGTGTGAGATATGTTATTCATGCTCAGACATTAGGGAGTAGTGATCTCCTGTCTTGGCCTGGGGGGTGGGGGGAGTGTTACATTGTGTCAATTCATTAGGAATTTACTTAGGGAGGGGTGTTGTTGTCATAACACCTGTAAACTACAAGTTGGAAACAGATGGGAGATAAATTCTTAAAAGTAATTACTCTCCAACTTCTTTTTCTTATTTTCTTTTTTTGATCAGTAACAAGGATGGCATTCATTCAATTTGGAAAAAAAACCCATACAGTTCATGAAGAATTACATGGGAAAATGTATAAACAGCTTATAGCTGACCATTGTTGTTCTATATAGATGATGATGATTTTAGTACAAATCCCTCCCTGGATCTGGCAAACCCCTGTCTGAATAATTTTTGTGCATCCCTTCCCTGGATGATGCATCAGCAAATCTATTTACAGAATGCACATGAATGAGTTGGTTCATGTTGGATAGAATTTGCAGGGTATTTCTAATAGTCCAAGGGTGTTCATCTTCTGTAGTAATCCAGTCAATTATACTGTGGTTCATCATCTTTTATTCTATGTATCCACATGAATGAGGTGCTTTGATCACATTAAGAAATTATTAGACTGTGGTTCATCATCTTTTATTCTATGGTTGCTATTCTCTTTCATTATGAGAGGTTTTGTAAAACCATTTCTCTAACATACTGACGGAGTTGGAAAACAGGAAGAAAACTGAATAACTGCGGTATGTGGCCTGAATTTTAAAGAGAAAGAAAGAATGAGACCAACTCTGACATATGTCATAATTTTACTCTTTCCCTAACTTTTTCAGTTTTTGTTTTTTCTTTTGTATTGTCCAAAAACATTTGTTTTTCATATTCACTTTCATTGGAAAAATTGTTTTTATTTTGTAGCTTGTAGTTTGATGTTCAGACCTGGAGTGTTTTAGAATACATCTTCCTGCTGTATTAAAATATGTAATTTTCTATTACTATATCTTTTGTCAACAACATTATTTTTGAGTGATGCTTCTTTGATGACACGTTATATGTTGTACCTTTTATTGCAGCCAGATAAAGTCACTGTGCAACCAACTCCAGTTTCTTGGTAGGTTCAATGAGGTTTCCCTGTACCTTTGGTGTATCCAATATTATTTTTGTCTTGTCAGAACTCTTCATGAAGTTACTTCTTTTACTTTCTTCAGTTGGCTTATATATCCTTTACAAAAAAATAGAATTGCTAAATATAGTGTTTCACCTATCAATAAAAAATTTCCTTTCTGCTATTATTTTCTTGACAGAGATGAACAAATAATGGTTTCGTCAAAATGTAATTTAAATTTTGTTTTTTAATGGTCTCTAGAAACTTGTGTTTGAATTGACAAATTTTGACATCACAGATATGCTACTGAGATTGGTCTTGAACTTATGACTGCGTTGCAGCACTTGGGTAGTTACTCTATAGATGTTTCCTGGTTTCATCTTTACATCCTTTCATGTTACCATAAAGGAACCTATGCATGGTCTGGAATTTTATCAAAATTTTTCGATATTATAACTCATGGAGTTTCTTGATTGAGATGCTCAAAGTCTTTTGAGGAATTCTAGGAGACGAGTTTAAGCAACTCTTGGAATCATCACCCTACATAAATGGTGAATCCCATGAAAAGGCATTATAAAGAAAATTTCACAAGGGTCCCACCATGTCTGTAGGGAGGTATCAATAAGTTACACAAACGTTGTTGTTTACTAGCCTTCCTCATATGTTTTTTGATAGGTAACGGCTATTTTATTGATAAAAAGTATGTTTATAAAGAAAAATACACAAGGAAAAGGATAAGAAAACCTATGACACATATAGACCCTTACTAATGTTGTCCCCTTGGAACAAAATAGAAAACTAATTATTTTGAGCACCTAATTAGCACATTCCACTTGGTATTGATATTGAGTCTGTTTATGTCCTTGAAGTCTATGGGAACAAAAGTCAATTTCATAATAAAGAAACTTATATCCTTGCATATTCTATGCATTGGTCTTGTTTTTCTTTCAAAAATCCTTCTATTTCTCTCCTTCCAAAGACCCCACAATCTTTCTAGAGGGGCTGTGCCCTTCTTCATGTTTTTTTTTTAATTAACATGCATTCTGAATGGTATACAAAACTAGGGAAATATGAAAAGTTTTTTCTTTTTAATTTATGAAATTCTTATCACTTGAGCATAGCTTAGGCTAGGTGCCTGCTTTGATGACTAGGTGCCCCACTGTTGACTAGAATTGCATAGACTCCTTGATGAGTCTGGTTGGATACCATATTGCCTACAGTATCAAAACAGCAGGCATGCCTGTGGAGGTTGGTGTGCCTTGTATAGTACCTGAGATTTGTTGTCTAATTGGGGATGGGTTGAATCTTAAGGAGGATGGGAAAGCTAGAAATGGTGTTCAAATTTCACTTGAGAGGAGAGAATTTCCTTTTGAATTGAGAGTTCTTTAAGGGACTCGTCAAGGAATGTCTTGTGGAGTTCCACGTGTTATTCAATGAGGTTGGCAGTGTATATGTGGGCAAACATGGAGGTAGGGAGACAGCTGTCAATGGGACTGATAATTGGATAGGCTAGGGTTGAAGAGTGTCTAGGAGTAGGCCTGAAGAACCAAAGTACAACCCTTCTCTGGCTTGGTTGACTGAAACGGAGCCCACCAATGGATGCTTCATCAGTGGACTGTACTGGATTGGCTCTAGTAGCGTGATCAATTAGCGTAGTGGTACCCAACCCAATCGAGGTGTCAGTTTAGTTGAAGCCCAAGATACTTAGAGGCTCACCAACTCACCTATGGGTTCATTGAAGGGTATCACAGCAAGTAGGGGTCTTCATTCCTGTTGAAGAGGAGCAGTTAGCTGGTGTGCCAGAGGGGCATCATCGGCGTATGCAAGAGGCGGAGTTTTGAGATCAGTGCTCCCACTGATGGTGGTGTAGGATGAAGCCTTGGATGTTCTGCTGATTGTAGCTTTAAGAAATAGACTCAGTGCAGTTGTGCGGCACATTCACATGTGATCAATGCTAAGCCATGGGATTAAGTTGCCTAATATGAATACATGTATGGTCTTAATACCACACTCTGGAATTCTGGTACTAGCGTTTATTTGTACTGAAAATGAAAGTAAATTTGTTTTCTCAACTGTTTTTGCATTCAATGTTGGAGCCAAGTTTGCTTCATAAAATGGAAGTTAGTGTAAAATAGGTTTGTTCCAGCTGTTTTTTGGTAATCTGTTGGTTCTAGCATTGAGATTCATGTTCGATCCATTGGGTTAAGTCCTTGAGTAGTTTTGATGATATTTCCACAAATTACCTGCTTAGGAAGTGGAAGGAGGTAGCTGATTCTTCTCTTCCAAAAGCTGTTATCAGGCCGGTTTTGGTCTCACCTCCTAGTGGGTTTATTAAGCTGAAATTTGATGGTAGTAGTGAGGGGAATCTGGGCCCATCAGGTATTGGAGGTGTTTTTTGAAATGAGGAGGGAGGAATAATTGCCCTCAACTCGGGGCCAATAGATGTGGGAGACTCCTTGAGGGCAGAAATCTTGGCTGTGATGGAAGGGATCCAAAAAGCCAAGGAGTTGATCATAAGCAGATTGATCATAGAAGGGGATTCAAAGTTGGTAGTTAACTGGCTGCAAAAGGATGAGACAGGCTGGTGGAAATTTGCCAATGAAAGGAGGAAGATTAAGTATTTAACACAAGATATAGAATTCAAGTTGCAGTGGGTTAAAAGAAGTGCAAATGCCTTTGCTGATGCTTTGATAAACTCTTCTGGGCTGCTCCGTAATTTCTGTATTCTTCTGTCATCTTGGAGAGAGCTAAGAGAGATTATCTCTCTCTGAGATGCTCATTTGTATCTTTTTCATTAATATTAACAAAGATTTCTAGTTATTGATAAAAAAGACACTATAAATTTCTCAGTTTAAAGTGGAACCGGGTTCACATCCTTCTACTTTAACAAATTTGCATTCATATCAATGCATTCACTTTTAGCACTCTTACCATACACAACCTAGGGGGAATTTTTTTGATGTTGGGTCTGTTGACCTTCATATTCTGCTTGTACAGCTTTCTTTCTTTCTCAAAGTCTCTTACCTATAAAAAAGAAAATACAAATCTTGTGAGGTGAAGTCTAAAGTACCGGTGGATTAGCTATGAATACATTTTACAATGGCTTAATAGTACAAGCAAGGTGTTCCCACCTTAGAGAACCTCTTAAGTGAATATTAGCAAGATGAGAGTTTGGTAGGTCTAATTTATCTGTTGTTATTTGGGCTGCGTTTGCAGTGCAAAGGTATATATACAGATATGAATGCAAATTTGGTCAATAATGGGTGCAAGCTTGGTTTGGTTTTTCACTGATAAATTTTAGTGTCTTGTTTGGTTGTGATGGGTATAAAAACTAATTTCAAGGCTGGAAGAACCTATTTTACATTGATCAACTTCGAGTGCAGAGTTTGTTTCCATTTTTTGGAAGAAAACTTTTCTCTCCTTTTGAAAGAAAAGATGGTGAAAAATAATATGCTTAAAATTTTCAGTACAAAAACACATTCTTGCCAAACACCAGCAAAACAGAACCATAATGCAAATTTGCTTGAGTTCTGCATTTACACTCTTACCAAATGCAGTGCGGTGGTTAGAAATTAGGTTGCTACTTGGGTTGGGCCAACTGAATCCAGCTTGGCAAACTTTAGTTAGGCATAAACTGGATCATGGTTATAGTGGTTTAGGGCTAGCCCTAGGCTTATTTTGAAAACAGATATAAATATACAAGTAACAAAAGGCAATGCAACCCTGGTTGCAGCAGACTGAACAAAAGGCAATGATATTAAGGTGGTTTGGGCATGTGAATACTGAATAGAGGACCACCTATTCACTACTAAGAAGTGATCTGATGTAAGTTGAAGGATGTAATAAATAGGAAGGAGCAAAAAAAGACATGGGTTGGGGTAGTGAGAAATGATTTCAGGGCAGTGTTTTAAAAGTGCAAGGTGAGGCGTGTGCCTTTTTCAAGCAAGGTGCAAAAATACAAAAGATTGTAAAAAAATAAAAAAAATGTCAGAAAAGTAAAAAAATGCCAAAAAATTAAAAAAAATATTAATTATGGTTTTCTTTTTCTCTATTTGTGTCACAAATAATTGAGTTATTAATCACTAATCATATTGTTTTTCATTTATGCATCACAAATCTCAAGAACTTTTCTTCTATTAGAATTTAAATGTATCTTGGAATTTTCATGTCTTATAATTTGTGGATCTTGTATTGAAGCTGAATTCTCTTTTCACTGTTATTGACTTATAATAAAGTGTAATACCATCTGATAATATAGATTTACAAAATTTGCTGCCTACAATTGAATCTTTTTTTGGTGTTCCCAGTGAGAAGTTGGTTGGTACAGATTGGGCTTTAGTAACTACAAATGATGGAAAGAAGTATTATTACAATTCCAAAACCAAGGTATGTTTGAATTTGCATTTTTCCCCTTGTTGTGTTGAATAACACTATTGATGTTTTTTGATTTTATTATCTGTGGATCATGAAAACAGAGAATTGGATTCTGTTATTTTTCTCACCATATGCCTTTGTTTCCCATCGAGTATGTATTAGGTTGGCCAGGTGCAAAATGTTAGAGTTATTGTAGGTTGGTCATTGGTGTTTATGAAGATGTTAACTCTAAATATCTTCTTTTGATAGGAAGAAGTGTATAATAAAAGAAAAAAGAGGTACAGAGGATAAGTACAACAGGATAAAGCAAAAAGAACAGGCCTGCTAAAAAAGGACCTAAGCAGTAAAGCTAATCTAAAAAAGGGAAGAAAGGGAAATGTAGAATTACAAAGGATGCCAAAACCACAAAATATACTTATCCCATTATGTAAGACTTTACAAAGAGACATCCCACCACTCACCAGGTATGGGCAAAAACCACTAAAAGGATGCTGACACAACCTACCCATTGACATGCTAGGCCCACAGACAAAGATCCTCCTTCACCAAGGAAAGAATTATAAAAAAGAAAATGAAAAGAAGGCTGCAATTTAACTTCCTTAAGATATACTCTACTAAATTTGCCATTCAAGTTGAGACTTGAGACCTATCTTTTCACCTTAGCCTTCCTTCACTTCTTTCCACAGAGAGCTGAGCAATATCCTTCTTAAGCAGCTCATTTACTTTTCTGTAGGGTCAATTTGTCAGCTATGATACTCTGATATGGTAAGGACATGGGTGGATAGGGTATCAGTCTGTCAGATACGATATTTATGCTAAAAATGGAAGTATCAAACATGATACCGTTGTATATGTTGAGAATTTAAGACCCTAATGTGGGTTTGTTTGGGCTTCCCTCTGGGGGCTCTGTGCAAGCGGGTTGTAGAACTAGAGTAATGTGTTTAGGAAAGAAATAAAGAGATGAAGTTTCACATGCTTGTCTTATTGAGTGCTTGAATATGTGTTATATGTTATGTTTAACTTTATTTTTACTTTTTTACTTTGAATTCATTTTTATATGTCATATTTATGTATTTTGTTTTGAACTAATATGCTTTTTATAACATTCAGTTTTAAGTATGCATTTTTAATTAATATGGTTTTTATTTTTTTTTTCAAATTTTCATATCTGTTTTCTCTTACATTTTATACATTTTTTTTTGAAAAATTTATGCCTTTCTTTGTTGTGCCTTGCGCCTCAGGCGCAAAAAGGCCCTTGTGCATTTTTTGTGCCTTGCACTTTTAAAACACTGGTTGGGCCTAGAAGAACAATAGGTGCTTGCGTCTAGAAATTTGCAGGTTGGGCCGGGCTGGGCCAGGCCATAAATGATCATCCCTAAGTACAAGGAGCCTTATGACATTTCAAATTGAGCCATTATTATTTTTAATTGATTTTTATTATTCTATATGGAATGCAAATGGATGATTTTTATTACTTTTATTACTTTTACCTTTTATTTATTAATTTTAAATTTTTAATATTAGTTATTTGTAAATGCAAGTAGAATGTATTTTAATTCTTATTTTATGAAGTACTAATTTCATATTTTTTAACAATTGTGTGATAAAATTATTAGTTTTTAATATTTTTATTAACTTAAGTAAATTTTATTAATTTTTTGTTATCTCTAAGTGGGTTTTAAATTATAATTATGACAATTAATAAATTGATTTTTAATTAATTTAAACAAAACAATAAATTTTTATTATACTTAACTAATATCACTATTTTTAAATGGAACTATTAAGCGTGCCCGTGCTTAGCACGTGGCAATTCTAGATGATGATAATGATAGGAATAATGTATCCAAAATTTTTCTATAAAATTCATGTATTTTTTTTTAATTTTTTGTTTTTCACTATTAATTGGATGCATACTGCAAAATCTGGATCTGATTATGTAATGACCTCATATTGGGCTACAAAGTTTTGGGTATCATTGGCAGGCCTACCTATTTGGTTGGACTCTTCTTTTTGTAATGTTTTATCTTCTTAGTAGTTACTTTTTTGTTTATTTATAAAAAAAATGTAAGATTTAAAGAGGAGGAATTGAATGAGGTGAAAATTGTAGTTCAAACTACATTTTAAACTTCACAATTGAATAGGGATTAAATTCAAAAACTGGGCATTTTAGTCAAAAGAAAGTTCCACAATTGTATTCATATTTTATAAGTAGTGTAAATATGGAATTATAGATGTGTTCAATTTTTTCTATAATTTTTTATTTCCATGTGTGTAAAAATATTACTGTTATTTACACTTATTTTTTGTTTAATTTGTTAAATGTATGATATTATACATGTGCCCAAATGTTTTTTTTTTTTGTAAAATTTGTATATATATTTGTTTGTTTTTCATCATTTATTAATTTTTATTATTTAGTTATGACATTCAAGGTTGAAAGATTTAACCCAAAACTTGAACTATTGGTCTCTACCAAATAGGAGAATACTTTCATTTTTTGTTAGTTTTAGATTATGCATTTCATTTTAATCATCAATAAAAATAACTCTTGTTTATTACGCTTGTTTTTTAATTTGATTAACAAAAATATCATAAATGTGTTTATTTTTTCTACATTTTTGTAATTTTTTATATTTATTTCTATTTAAAAATTTTATTATCTAACCATGGCTTCATTGGTTGGCCAATTTGATTTGGATAGTTGAATTGCTTAGTCATCACTTGGATAAAGAATGATTTTTCTTTTGAGTAAGTTTTAAAATATATGGGTTTGTATTTTTAAAAGTATTGGGCATAGATCTAATTGGTAGCATTTATTAGTGAAAATTAACTTAAACATGAGATTTAATAAGAGAGAATGGGAGTTAATACCATAAACACAAGAGTTAATGAGAGGGGATTAAATGAGGTGAAAAGCATTAATTTTAATTACATTTTCAACCTTCATAATTAGAGATGGACTAAAGAATAAATGAGGGCATTTTAGTCAAGAAGAGTTCCACACCTTATTCGTACCTTTTATAATAGTATAGATTTGAATGTTTGTATCAGTGACTTGTAATTGAATCCCACTTTACACATGCTCTCTCTTTCTCATTTTGCAATACAATTGAACAAATAGGCTTATGATGGTAGAGGTGGGCAGTAGTAGGCTTTGGAATATTTAAATATTCTCTCTCTCTCTCTCTCTCTCTCGTTAATGATAAGTTCATGACTTTAGTCACTTTTTAGAGAAAAAAATTCAGAAAAAACCACAAAAAATATAGCTGCCAGTGTGAACGTCCATGTTTTAATATATTGATATCAAGATTGTGTACAAGTCAAATTATTTCAGTAAGGAAAACAAGGTTTAAAAATAAAAGAATCATATTGAAACAAATTATTTGCATGATACGTATGTATGTAGATGTAAATTGAAACTTTTTATATTGTTATATTGTAAAACTTGTTAAAAACAATATATTTTGTTTCAATATGGTAATCCAGTGGATCTCAACCAGGAGATTTACTTGGGTGTGTTGGTGCATTTAAAGGAGATAAATATTTTTTCCAGAAATTAAATATAAAAATATTAAAATTTTAAATAATTATGTTTAATCTTCCTTTTTGGTTAGATCAGATTGAGAACTATCTTTTCCTATCATTTGTTCTATTTTCCTTTCTCTCACTCTCTCTGAATTATAGTGTGTTAGTAAGTGAATCACATTCAGAATGGTAATCCAGTCATCCATCACAAAATTCCCATTTGTTCTTTTAGGAAAAGATTTTCAAAAAATTTTCTATGATTTTAATGAAATATTGGAAAGTTTGATGATATTCTAAAATTTTTAAATATTAGATACTTAATTTACCAATAAAATTGAAATTTCCTCAATATCAGAAATATGAGTGAAAAAGATTCATGAAATGAATGTTTCATATCTTCCCCAAGCAAAATGGGGACATTTCGCTAAACCTCCCCAACATTGTCAGCCATGATATAAAGTAAATAATATGATACATATATAAAGATGCAAACTACATGTAATGTTCGGATTTTATATGTTATGCTTGCTATTTTCTGGAAAGGCGGATAAAGTCTAGAAATACTCTTAACTGCTTATATATTCGTTCTTTCTGCTTGCAAACCTCTAAACTTTCTTGCTTGGATGATTGTGTAATCCAGATAAGTAGTTGGCAAGTCCCAATGGAAGTGACAGAACTAAGAAGGAAATATGATGATGATGCTCTGAAAGGAAACATGACGTTGGTTCAAAATTCTGTTGCATTTTCTGAAAAGTTATCTGCTCCTATCAGTGTGACTGCTCCTGCAATTAACACGGGTGGTCGTGAGGCCACATCTCTTAGACCTTCAGGTGTAGCAGGGTCATCATCTGCATTGGATTTGATAAAAAAGAAGCTGCAGGACTCCATTGCTCCTGCTACTTCCTCACCTCTTCCAACTTCTTCAGGGCCAACCACAGCAGACTTGAATGGGTCAAGACCTGTAGAGGCTGCAGTCAAGGGCCTGCAGAGTGAGAACAAGGATAAAGTAAAGGATATTAATGGGGATGGGAATATCTCTGATTCATCTTCAGATTCTGAAGATGAGGATAGTGGGCCTTCCAAGGAGGAGTGCATTATCCAGTTCAAGGTATTTTGGCTGTTTATATTCATGTGAAATTCATTAATGTATATCTTATGTCCTTAGTTGTTTGACTTCTCACTTTATAAGAGTCTATCTGTGGCTAATATCAAGTACTGCAAATGGGCTGGATTGAATTTTCTTTGGTCTTTGACATTAAGAACCTTGGTGAAGCCTGGCCTGTGGCAAGTCAGCCCAAAAGAGCATCATTCTTTGTTACCTCTCTCCTAAGCAGAATTGTTACTCATTGATACTTGAATTAGTAATTAGAGGTGGTAATTGATTTTGGGTTGAGCTATAATCCACAAATTTAACCCATGCACCTAACACTCATTTACATTTAACCTAAATGGTGGGGAGAGAGAAGACCAGTCTCATCGTGCTCCTATCCTTAATTTTTTTGATCAATAAAGCTTTATTAAAGATGTGAAACTTTAATTACAAGAGGGGGAGGTAAAATGTCTTAACTCCTATTCTTAAATTAATGGGCACACATTACCTAATCCAAACCCATCCATTTAAGTTGGACAGTTTGAGTTTGCCACCATTTGTTCCTATCCTGTTCCTATCCAGTCCACCCTTCCCAAGACCTCATATAGCTGGGACCAATATTGGGTAATGGCCTTTTTTAGTTCGAGCTTGCCTTGAGGTTGTGCTGCTTTACTTGGGTCCTTCTGGATTCAGAGACTCTATTAGGGCAGATCTATTAGCTGCTGTACAAGGGGTGCAATTTGCATACCAATTGGGGGTAGAACAGCTAATAATTGAAGAGGATTCCAAGGTGGTGGTGGGCTGGCTGAAAAACCCTGAGGATACCATTTGTTGCTACAAAAATGAAATTAAGAAATTTAATTGGCTGACAAGGAATATGTTGGTTTCTATACAGTAGGTGGGGAAATCAGCAAATGCTATGGCTGATGTGTTAGCCAAGCAAGGGGTAAATAGGGAAGTTATATTTTGGGCTCAGCTGTGATTTCTGTAATTTTTTAGTGTACTTGTAAGCTGCTAGGAGGGGCTGCAGCTCGCGCCTCTTCATGGGATGTTGTACGAAATTACAATTCTAAATCAGGTTCTGAATTAATAAAATTTTACTATCACTTATAAAAAGATGATAATTTCATTAATCAAAGAAGATAAGCTGTTACATGCTTCCCTTGGAGAGGTGCGAGGTGCAGCCTCTCCTAAACATTACAGTGAAACAAGAGCAACAAGAAAAATTACAAACTTGCCCAGAAAAGCTCTTCCCTAGATACCCCTTGTTTGGCTAGCAAGTCAGCCAAAGCATTTTCTGACCTATCTAGACCTGGCAAAAAGGTGACCCAACCCACGAACCTGACTCGACCCGACCCAGGAAAAACTGGGTTGGGTTGGGTTAGGTCATGGGTCAACCCGCTGACCCGAATGTCAAGTCTAATTGGGGCTATTTATGCATTGTTAGAACTTTCCACTCTTTAATTTTTTTCTATTTAGTCTTTACTTTGTTAAATGTTCAAGTTTTTTTATTTTATATTTGGAATTTTAAGGTTAATTCCTTTAATTTTGTCATTTTTCATGTAGTTTTTCTTTTTTTTTTTTTTTAAATTTCAGTTATTTTTTGGGATGATCGAATTGACCCATGGGTCAACCCTAACCCGAACATTTAGGGTTAGGGTCTAGCATTTGATAACCCAACCCGAAATTCAATCCGGCCCAAAATGAACCCGAAGTGTCTTGACCCAACCTGAACCCGACCGACCCAACCCAATTGCTAGGTCTAGACCTATTCACCCATTGGATTCTAATAGTCATGTGTCTTGTTAACCATTTAACTTTTTTCATAAGATCCCTATAGCACCAAGAAGCTGAATCTGGGTCTGGCAACCAACCCACAATCACTTTAGAGTCCCCTTCAACAAGTAATTTCTCTAATCCCAAGTTGGTTGGCAATCTGAGTTCCTTGTACAACAGCCAACAACTCAGCCCTTGTAAAGTCACCTACTCCCACTTGTCCTAAAAACAATGATAAGATATTGCACTCCTTAGTTCCAGTGATTTAAAAAGGCGCGCCTAATCGCACAGGCGAGGCACATTTTATGGTAAGCGCCTCACCCAGGTCCTAGGTGCAATACTTTCAAAAGGCACACAAAAGTAATTGATAAAATATCTTCTTAAAAGGCAACTCAAATTATAAAATCATTATTTTTTTTGTGTGGAAATTAAGAATTTAAGACCCTAATATGGACTTGTTTGGGCTTGCCTCGAGGGGCATGGCACAAAGGTGGCTCGTAGAATTAGGAATGTAATATGTTTTACATCACATTGGCTACTTGAAGTAATTTGAGGAAAAAAAGGAGATTGTTGGTTTTACATGCTTGAAAATGTTTTTTATGTTTGATTTTGTTTTTAAATTTTCATTTAAATATGCTTTACTTATTATGTTTATGTATTTTAATTTTAGATAAAAGATTTTTTAAAACATTTATTTTAAAATTTAAGTTTATATTTTTAATTAATATTTAATGATGATTTTTTTTTTTGCATTTTGACTTTTTTTTTTAAAATTTTTATCATTTGTTTTTTGTATTTTTGTGCCTTGCGCCTCGGGTGCAAATTGGCCCTTGTGCCTTTTTTGCGCCTTGCACTTTTAAAACACTTTAATTCTCAAGACTCCTCCAATCCTTGACAATCCCAGATTGCCTTGGCTACTCCCACCAAAATTCAGTTTTATAAAACATTCCAGAGGTGGTGGCCAAACTACTGCAGGTTTATTTTTCTTAGTGGACATGTTAGCTATTACAATCCAATTTCCCCAAAAGTCAGCAAAGGAAAATGGGGTAAAGGAGACTCATCAAAAAAAAGGGGTAAAGGAGACTCATCAAAAAAAAGGGGTAAAGGAGTCTAGGGTTCTTAGCCAATGTATAGCTCTAGTTAAAATTTATTCCTTCACTGCCGAAATGGTTCTCTCCTTGTCAAGAAAGATTCTGGAATTCCTTTCTTCCCAAATAGTCCACAAAATGGCTGCTCTGAGGCATCTCCACATGCATCCCTCGTTTTTTGTTGGCTAGACAAAGGTGGACGAGCTAAACAACAGTTTTACTTCTGGTGGTAGTGTCCACTTGCAACCAAATAAATTGGACATCTAATCCCGCAAAGCTGTAACAAAGGGGCAGGAAATCAGTAAGTGGTAGCAGTCCTCACTATGAGTTTTGCACAAAATACACAAGTTTGGGGATAGACACACAAAAAAGGCCTTCTCTTTTGCAAATTTTCCAAAGTATTAATCTTATGGTACACTTCCCAACAAAAGACAACTATTTTGGGGGGAATAGGCTTGGTCCAAACATCTCTCACAGGGAACGACCCAGGCACGTTACTAGAACACAGGGATTTGAAAAAAAAAAGAAGCACAGGTAAAAGAGCCTTGGGAAGCAGGGTCCCTAACTCTCTTATCGAAAGAAGAAGGGTCTAAACAAACATTACCAAGAAAAGCGAGCAACTCAGTGATACAAGGAAGTTCTGCCTCCCGCAAACTTCTACGAAATCCAAAATCCCAATTCAAAGAAAGAGGGAGGACGGGAGGGATAGAAAAGATGTAATAAGCTCTTTTTTATAAAGGGGAAGAGCGTAAAGAGAGGGGAAGAGATCTTTGAGAGGTAAATTACCCACCCAAATATCTTCCCAAAAAAGAACTAGATTGCCTGAACAAGCATCATACCTTACATATTGGAGAAACTTGGGAAGAATGCCGTGTGTTGCTTTCCAAGGAGATGATTGCATAGCCTGACGTGATATTTCGACATCCCAACCTAAATCAGAACAACCATGAATGCTAACCACCACTCTATGCCATAAACTCTCTCTCTCTCCACTGGCAATCTCCATAGCTATTTCCCCAACAATGCTTCATTTTTAAGAGCCAAATTCCCTAAACCTAGTCCCTCTCCCTCTTTGCTTTGACTCATTTTCTCCCAACTAGTTAGATGGTCCTTCTTACCCCCTGGTTCCCACAGAAAATCCCTCATCATCTTTTCCAATTTTCTAGCCTTCCTAGAGGGAATCCTGAAAACAGAAAGGAAGTATATTGGAAGATTGGTAAGCGTGGCCCTAATCAAGGTTACCCTCCCCCTCAAAGAAATGTAATTCTTTTTCTATGTTTCCAGTCTTTTTTCAAACTTCTCCACAACTGGATTCCAAAAACTACTTTCCTTAGGATTCCCACCCAAAGCCCAAGTAAGTCATGGGCCAGGAGGCAACATAGCACTCCAAGTAGGCAACAATGGACTCAACCTCATTATCCTCCAAATTGATACCTACCATGCAACTTTTTTCAAAGTTGACTTTAAGGTTGGAGACACTCTCAAAACCGGTTATTAAATCCTTAAGGTTGCTCACTAACCTCAAATCGCTTTCCTCACAAAATATGATAATATCATCCGCAAATTGAAAGTGGGTCATTGAAATACTATTTCTACCAATTTGCAGCCACTTATTACCTCCTTTCTATCTGCTTTGGAAATCCATCTACTAAGCACATCTGCCACCAAAGTAAAAAGGGAAAGGGAGAGTGGTTCAGCTTGTCTTAAGCCCCTAAAAGCTGGGAAGAAGTCTCTTACCACTCCATTGACTAGAACAGAGTAATGAGCCGAGGTGAGACAACTAGAGATCCAGTTATACCATCTTTCCCTGAAGCCACAGATTCTAAGTACCTCTAAGAGGAAGCTCCAATCCACCAAATCATATGCCTTCTCAAGGTCCAATTTATAGGCAAAACCTTGACTCCTGGATCTCCTCATATCCTCTACACACTCATTTATTATTAGTATTTGATTAGTAATTTGTTTTCCTTGTACAAATTAATGGGCCAGAATTTTGTAAATGCTAGTCACCAAACTAATGGACCTGTAGTTTTTAGGTTGCTTAGCATCAAAGAAAGCACCTTTGCTAGAATTTTGTAAATTCTTGGCCCCAAACTAATGGGCCTATAGTCTTTAGATTGCTTAGCATCAATCTTTTTAGGAATAAAGGGCTAGGAAAGTGACATTAACTCCAGGGCTGATTATATGTCTCTCTTCAAATTCCTTGAAAATTGCAAGTAGGTCCTCAACTATTTCCCAACAATCCTGATAGAAAGCCATGGTAAAGCCATTTGGTCCTGGGGCTTTTGATCTATCCATAGAAAAGACTGCTTGTTTTATTTCCTCTTCCTCAAAATCCCTTTCCAGCCATTTCAAGCGATTCTCCTCCAGTCTAGGCCAATCTAATGCTTCCAATCTTTCTCAAACCAAAAGAGGTCATCTTAAGATTGACTTGAAATGGTCCACAAAAAGCCTTGCTATCTTTTCTTGAGAATGAATCACTTCTCCATCTATCTCTAATTTAGCCACAAAAATTTTCCACCTCCTCCCATTAGCTACTGCATGAAGTATTTGTTATTTCCATCACCTTCTTTAATCCACTTGTACCTTGACTTTTGCCTCCAAGAAATTGCCACCATTGTCCCTAATGAAAAATGAAACACCCATATGCATTGTTTGGGTTCAACCAGGTTGGATTACATTTTGCCACTCCTAATACCTAGGTTTTGAAGATGTGCCATCTTATATTCAAATGAATATAATGCATTAAAAGAAACCAAAGCTATCACACCTCCACTTCTTTTTATAACCTGTTATTATTATATCACAATAAACAAATTTGAAGGCTTTCGAACTTCTGTACCGAGTTCTTGCTAAACAGGGGGTATTGAGGGAACATCTGTACTGGGCAAGGGCAACATTGTAATGTATTTGGTGTAGTTTTTACACTCACACTCAAACTCAAGGGAGGTTGCACCTCGTGCCTCTCCTTGGGGTTCTTGTAACATTTCTGCTATATCATTAATAAATAATTTCTTATTCATAAAAAAAAATTTCTGTATTGTGTTAATATATGATGGGGAACATGGTAAAATGCTTCCTCCACTTTTATACAGAACATTTTTATTATTAAAAAACCAACTTTAAGGGTAAGAGCGTAGGTGCATTACCTCGTATGCCTAATGCCTCCATACTGTAGGTGTACCCTCAGGCATCTCTACGGCTCCACTATGTGCCTCCAGGCATGTCTCCATCACCTTTTAAAACCCTGGTTATGATACAAACATTTCACACTGAGTTTCATTTTCCTGCAGGAGATTTATTAAGCAGTCATTTTTTTATATGCTTTTTCCCTGAAAGGATAGAAGTTCCCTGTCCTATATGAAGTTTATGTATGCAATGGATACATAGTATCTCAAAAAACACATGCTGCAGAGTTGATGCTCTTATCCTTGCTTGTCTTTAAGATCTCTTGTTTTGTATGCTTAACAATTTTTATTTCTATTAAAGTGAATAAATAATTGATCATACCTATCAAATTTGCAGGAGATGCTTAAAGAACGCGGAGTGGCGCCATTTTCGAAATGGGAGAAGGAATTGCCAAAGATAGTTTTTGATCCACGTTTTAAGGTTTGTTGAGTCTAAAGATTATGAATTATTTAGTACGGGAATTTTGGGCCTTTCCTACCACTGGAACTCCATGAAACAGGTTTGTTGAACTCATGTATTTTGTTAAGTTGTGACGGGGGAATTTATTTTGTCTATTTTCTGTAATAGTCATTTGTCATGCTTCTAGTATTCTATAATTCAATTATTGAGTGTGCTTTGAAGTACTTGTGTTTGCATATCAGAATTTTTCGTGAAAGCTTGGAAGGTCCAATGCCTCTTTTAGGGGCAAGTTAGTTATTGTTTTTTTTTTTTTTGAAATTTCTGCCTGAGAAAAAATATGTATGAAAAGAAGTCATGTCCTTATTGGAAATTTCACTTGTCTTGGTCCCCTTTGTGAATGCGTTTTGCTGCAAGCATCCAATATAGAAATTCTTGGTGTATACAATCAGGTGTGGTGGATAAGAAGGATATCCGTGCTGCATACCACAATTCAACTCAACTCAAATCAATAGAACCTTCTTCATCTGGTGTCAGATACGGGAATTCTTTTCTGCCACTTTGCTCTATTCAGTGCCATATCCATTGTTACATTTATGGAGAAATGATTAGCTGAATGCAATAGTTGTTCAGTGGGCTGTGGAACCAATGATAACACTCAATGCATTAATAAAACACACAGGCCCACAATCATTTAACCTCTAACTGTGGGCCCCATGTATTTTATCACTGGCATGGGGCTTCAGTGAATTAAGATGGTTATCTCTGAACTGTTCAGTAGAAAAAAAATCGTCATGTACAATGTGCAGAGCTTCCCCTTTGACCATAGTCATTGGTTGTTTGTTTCTGTTTAGGCTATATGCAGGTCTTCCAATTGCTCTGGTGTAGGGATATTGATTTTGTTTTCATTATCGGTGGGATTCCTTTGCCACTTGATACAACTCAATCTTTGGGTTAACTTCATCTTTTCTTGTTGTTCAATGTATTTTTTTGTTGGTATTTTGTTCGAAAACAGATGCTACCATATGCTCATTTGATTTTTCTGAGCTTTTATTGAATAGCTGTTCTAAAGTGTCACTCTTGTGGTGATATACATATATGCATATGCGTGGATCTTGGTGCAGAAATTTCATTTTTTTTCTAATTTACTAGTATAAAATGTAGTTTAAGCTTAGTGACCATTTGGACAATATAAGTTGATATTCAAAGAAGACTTGTGTATTGTTGGATTGTGCTTCCCTTTTTGTTTGGTAAGCTAAATTTGTTAAATAACAAGGAAAAACCTAATATTTGGAGGAGGAACTGGACAAAGTAAAGACCTCATATAACCACGTTACACAAAATGATCTTTTCCCATGGTCTCCCATATTACAAAAAAATTCAAGCAACACCTGAATAAGTTGAAATTTTCAGTTCATTCTACTTGGAATCCAGTCATTGGAAGATTGAGAGAAAGGTTTGGGATGTTAAATTGTGTTGGATTGAAATTTTCAGTTCATTCTACTTGGAATCCAGTCATTACAGGAGAATTAGCTTACAGAGGGTGGAAATGGAAAATTTTCAGTCAAGTCAAGTGTTATTGTGAAGCACTTAATAATAATCAGGTGGAACAAATTCCTTTGATGGGGACTTGGGGCAATCCTGTTACCCCAAGGGTTGAATAATTAATATAGTTATTATTGTTATTGAATAATATTTTGACAGTTGATCTTTTTTTTTAGAGGGGAATCTCTTGTTAGACAAGAGCTGGGGGGGGGTACATGAGATGATATACAGGAGGGCTTAGTAGTAGCAAAATGAAAAGCCCAATCAATGAAATGGTAAAATGTTTGCATTATACAAAAGATCCCTTTCCATCCCTATTTTAGCTAATGAGGGTGCAGTCTGATTTAGATCTCTAGGAATCCATCAGAATCTGCAATTATGAAATCTGAAATGTCAGCTATTCCATGAAGGAAAAATTGCTAGGACTTTGTTGTACAGTTTACAACCTGTCAGGCCTTTGTTTTCTTTGCAGAAATTGTGAGGTTGTGATGCATTTATTTTTACAATGAAATCCAGTGGACTTATATGGTCATGCTTTTTTCACGTACCTACGAGGCTAGAAGATCATAATTCAGACAGATAAATTTGAGAGTTTTTCCCTGGTACCTATAGCTGTGGGTAAAAAGGTAAAGATAATATGGAATGGTTGCTGCCTTGCTGGCTTATGCTGAATTTAAAGGCCTTCAGCATTGTCTTTGGGATCTGATTTTCTGATGATTTGAGGCTTAGACTTTGTATTGGAAGATGATTAATTTCTTTTGTAATTTGTTAGGAATTTGCTTTCTTTTTAGGTGATACTCTTCACCTATTGTAGTCATTTTTTATCACTATTTTTTAAGTATTTCATCACCATCATCATCATCGTCGTTGTCGTCGTCTAAGCCTTATCCCAACTATGTGGGGTAGGCTACATGAGTTCTGTTTCGCCATTCTGTTCTGTTTAATGCCATATCCATTGTTAAATTATGTGCTTAAATATCTTACTACTTTGATCCATGTCCTTTTTGATCTACCCCTAACCCTTCAACTTGCAACAAATCACTTCTTCTTATGGGTACTGTGAATGGTGTTCTATGCACATGACTAAAGCATCTTAGTTTACTTTCTCTGCTATTGCCACCTATTGGATTTACTTCTACATTTCTTCTAATGACTTCAGTTTTGACTCTATCCTTTGTAGTTTTTCAACTCATCAATCTCAGCATATGTGCTTCTGCCACGCTTGTATTTTGGACATGTTGTTTCTTGACTGCCCAACACTTTGTTTCTTTTGATGAGTTAATGAAAGTGTTATTGATCAAAAAAAAAAAATTAACTGTTTCATAGAGTTTTCCTTTCAATCAAGGTGGTATTCACTTATCATATAAATTTTCAGAATGCACCCCTCTATTTTGGCCATCCTTCTCTAATTCTATGGGTGATGTCCTCTTCAATCTTTTCCTTGTCATTAAATTATCAAACCAAGGTAATGGAAAAGGTCATAATGAATCCTAAGTGTCTCCTGATTTGCACTCTTATTGTTAGTAAATTTTCATATCTTATATTTTGTTTTAGTCCTGATTTTAAAAACTCTTGTTCCTAAAGTATTTATCCATAAAGGCATAAACTTAATTGGTTTTTGATCAACAACTAAAGCTTTTATTAGAAAATTTAGAAACAGATACAAGAAAGCAAGGGGAGAGGTAAACCCTCTTAACCCTTCCAAGAAAGTTCAAATTACAACATGGCCCAAAATAAACTTCCCCTTCGCACCCTTTGTTTTCCAAGTGTATCCGCAAAGAAATTAGCACCTCTCTTTATCCATTGTAGCTTTAGCTCAAAGTCCTGGGTCAGCCACTTAAACTTCCTTTTTTCATTCAAGTTTCAAAATTCCATTATGTTCTTTTTGTAGCCTACCTATGACCAACTTTGAGTCACCTTCAACAATCATGTTTCTAATATTCAACTCCTTTGCTCTTTTTATCCCTTCCATTGCCGCCAATACATCAGGTCTAAGTGAATCTCCTCCACCAATAGGACCTGAAAATAGAGCAATAACTTTCCCTCCTTCCTCCCTAAAAGATCCTCCTATACTTGAAGGACCCAGGTTACCTTCATTTCTTCTATCAAAATTCAACTTAGTGAAACCGACATTCGGTGGGTACCAAAGTGGAGAAGTCCTAGTTTTGAGGGGGGCTGAATTAGACATCCTTCCAGTTCTTAAACAAATAATTTGTAGAAATACCCTCAAATAAGTGCAAAGACATCACCCTATGAACCATCCTTACATCAACGGTTTCAAAGATGGCTTCTCTACTTCTTTCCTTTAAAAAAAAAGTCCTATGTTTCCTTTCTTCCCAAATTGTCCAACAAATAGCAGCTCCTGCAGATCTCCACAATATTCCACCCCTCTTCTTTGAAGTTTGAACACTTGATAGAAGAGTAAGCAAACAAGCTTTTTACATTTGGCGGGGGGTCCATCAAAACCAAACAATGGGTGAAACCAATCCCAAATCACTTAAACAAAAGGGCAAGAGATTAATAAGTGATAGCAACGTTCACCATTAGCCTTACAAAGGTTGCACTAATTCGGGGATAAACACCAATTAGATCTTTTTCTTTGGAGCAAATCACAAGTGTTGCACTTTTATAGGAAAGCTTCCCAACAGAAAGCTCCCATCCTAGGTGGAATTGGTTTATCCCAAACATCCTTTACTGAAAAGGTTGCCCAAGGATATTAGTGGGTTAAACATTACCCTTTTATCAGAGCAAGATCTAATATCGTTTTTTATCAGCATGAAGTTGATTTTATTAATTAATTAAATGTAAGATAACAGTACAGTTTGATTACCATAAAGTCATCCCAAGTAATGTTTGCTAGGTTACGTAGAAGCCCAAAACAACTGCTGCCTTTCCGCTCCTTGTTTAGCAAGGGAATCAGCTAGCCAGGTGTGCATGGTTCGGTTCTGTTCGGTTCCATGGCAGAACCTGGGACCTACCATATAGGGGTCGGTTCCAGGTTTTTGGAAGGAACCTTCCCTGTGAAGGTCGGTTCTAGCCTTGGTGGTTCTGGGGTTGGTTCCAGGGTCTACCCGTGGAACCTGTTCTTTATTGATTAAATTGAGTAATTTAATATGTAGATTATCATAATATATATGTGGTTCAAAAGTTGTCATTATAATTTAAATTTTGTAAGTATTACCTTTTACATTATTTATTATATGCATTCAAATGTGGAAATAAAAACAAACGATCAGAACACTTGAGTAACTCAATGGTCAAGTGAGACCATGGCTTTTGTAACCATGAGTGCTTGGGTTCAAATCTTTACTTCCTTAAAAATACTTTGGGGTTTATTTCATGGCAAGTTTGGTTCCAAGGCCGGCCCATCGGGTCGGTTTGGGTAGGGTAAACCTCTAGACCTTGGAATCGATTTGGTGGGGGTTGGTTTGAAGAATTTGGAACCCGACCCTACCCTGTAAAAGATTGGGTAGCATTGGTTCAAGGCCAGTTGGAGCTCGGTTCTGGGTAGAACCCCTATCCATTTGCACTCCTTACCCACTTGAAATCAGCATTTTGTTCTCTTGCAATCCTTTCAACTTCCCTGCAAGCATTCTTGAGAGTCCAAGGGATATGTTTGTTACATCTCGCCCAAGAAATAACTACTTTCGAATCCCCCTTCCAGTTCTATCTGTGTGAAATCCAGTTGCTTTGCCAACCAGAGACCATGTAGTTGAGCCAACAATTCAGCCTTCACAGAATTAGCTACTCCAATTTGTCCTGAATAAATGTCTAATATCTTGCCTTCCAAATTGCTGATTGCCCCACCTATTCCTGCCATACCTGGGTTGCCCATGGAGCTTCCATCAAAGTTCAACTTTACTTTGCTGCCTTGTGGGGGTTTCACCTCCAATCTTATTCTTTCTTTTTCTCTAGAGGATTGTGCTACCTCCTTCCATGCCCTTAGGATATCATTAATTGTGGAGTTCTGAAAGCACTCCATGGTTTTAATCCAAAACACAACCTTCATTTTTATGGCCTCTATTACATCCTTCAGTTCCACTCTTTCAATTGAATATTCTACTGTTCCTCACTTCCCAAACCAACAAAACATTTGCTGCCCAAGGTTTAAAAAAGTCACAGCGTATTGGCCAATATGTATTGTTTCCAGCGATATCCCAATAAACAAAACGCTACAAATCCAGTAGTTTTGTTCCTTTTTGTATGTTTCGGATAGATACAGACCCGTATTGGGTCGTTTTGGATTGATACAGGACAGGTACAGACCGATATACAATATGTATCGGCCGATACATATTGTAATATTAGATTCTCTCTCTCTCTCTCTTTCTCTCATAAATAAGCCTATTTAATAATTTGTTCTCTCTCTAGTAATTCCTACATTTAAGGACACTTGCCCTAAATAACTCCTAATCCCCTATAATTATTACCTCTCTCTTAATAACTTCTTTTCTCTCTTAATTAATTACTACATTTAAGACAATGTTCAAATTCAAATTTTAATTAAACTCACCATTAAAGCAATAAATTCGAAGTTGACTTGTCATTAAACCTACTTATTTAAAACTACAAATAAGAGAGGTAAGGAGAATTGAACCCTGGTAATTTGATTGTAATAAACATAAACAAACCACTATGCCATATTCAATTGTTGATTATAATTGTATGTATTTTTATTCTTAAGCAAATATTTTTCTTCTTAATGGATGTTCATTTATTAATGTTAAAATTGATTATTATAATTTATATACTAATAAATATAAATTATCTTCAACAATTACCAATTTGTCCCTATATCTCACATTTTATATAAACTATTGAGGTATGGGTTTGTATGTTTAAATAACTTGTTTTCTTTATAAGTGTTTAAATAACTTAATTAAGGCCATATAAAACTTATATTTATTGTTATTAATGCATTTTTTAATATTTGTATAAGCTCCCTAATGTATCTATGCATATCTTGATTTTTCATACGTATCCATGCGTATCCCAAAATGTCTCTTAAAATTGTCTTTCTAATACACCTTACGTTTCCGATACTTTGAACCTTTTTGCTGCCTTTGTTGGATCTAATATTGTTGTTGCACCAAATTTGCTGCTGATGTCTTCATTACATGATTTCAACACCTGTATGGATGAGCAGTGACTCTCCATCAAATGTAGATTCTTTTATGGTCGAAAAGAAGATAGTTAGGTGCATTATGCACTGATGTGGATACTGAAGCAAGAAAGAATACGTGGAGAAACAAATAAGTTTTCCATTCCTACAATAATCAGAATTTTTGGGTGATAGGATATATTGATATTGTTTGAGCTTTATATATATATGTATATTTGTATGGGTGTTTTAAGAATAGGGTTTTAGATTTTCCAGCAATTTTCCATTGTTTCAAAATTACTATTTACAGAACCTTGGACTTATGATTTATAATATTGTTCGAGGTGGTTTATTTTAACTTTTTCTAACATGAAAATTTTATATGGTTTCAGGCTGTGCCAGGCTATTCTGCTCGTAGAGCATTGTTTGAACACTATGTTCGAACACGAGCTGAGGAGGAGCGAAAAGAAAAACGTGCAGCTCAGAAAGCTGCAATTGAAGGCTTCAAGCAGTTGCTAGAAGAAGCTTCAGAGGTTATTAATTGATTATACTTATCCACTGTCCTGATTCCTTCAGAAAAGTTACATTTTGGAAGCTTTTGGTTTAAAATACATAGAGATTTGACACTTATTTCCAACTATCTTACATTTCTCAGGATATTGACCAGAGAACTGATTATCAGACATTCAAAATGAAATGGGGCAGTGATCCCCGATTTGAGGCCTTGGACCGCAAGGAGAGGGAGCTTCTATTGAATGAAAGGTATTACTTAATTCAGAGTGCTTGACTTCCGTTTTGTATGAGATGTTTGCATCTATAAATCAGCTAATGACTTTGCTGACCCTTTTGTGAGAGACTGGGTGTGGAGTGCTGCTTTAGAATTGTATCGGGGGTGGGGGTGCTATGAATTTTTTTAAGTAAAAAACATGTATCCTAGGGTAGTTCCCGAGTTTTCATAACCATATTTCCTTAACAATTATCCATAGTTTTCATAAGAAAAGTATAAACTCCATGTTAAAGTATAGAAAATCAACATATTCCAACATATTCATTAGAAGAAAAAGAAGAAAAGAAAATTAAAAAAATATAGGGGCTGAACCCCTATTTCTGTTATAGGAAAATAAGAAAAGAAAAGGTGGAAGAAGAGAAAATGTGTTGATTAGACAACATTTTAAGTTATTCCTTACTTAGTGAAGGCTTTGAGCGTTCAATATAGCATTCAGCAATGCTTGTGTTGATTAAACCCTAACAAATTAGAAGATGATAAAAAGAAATTAGTATATAAACACACAAAATGAATATTCTAGTTTATAATTGTAACCTCAAAAAATTAAGAATATAAAAGTTTTTTATAACACACTATAGAAAACTGCTTGCCGATTAGGTGAGGTGAGCCTCCAAGGGCACCTTGTCGCCTAGGCGGGCGCCTAGGCATCGCCTTGACAACTATGGAAACGCCTAGGTGACAAAGCACCTTTGGAGGCTCGCCTCGCCTAATTGCCAAGCAGTTTAGTATACTGTGTTATAAAATACTTTTATATTTCTATTTTTTTTTGAGATTATAATTAGAAAATAGACACATTACTAAACTAAAATATTCATTTTGTGTGTTTATATACTAACTTCTTTGTATTATTTTCTTATTTGTTAGGGTTTAATAAATACATACGTTGCTAACTGTTGTATTGAACCCTCAAAGACTTCAAAACCTGAACCAACAAGTAAGGAAGAACTTAAAATTTTGAACCTTCAAAAACTTCTTCTTTTGCTTCTTTTACTATAACAAAAATAGGGGTTCAGCCCCTATATTTTTTTATTTTTCTTTTCTTTCTTCTTTTTCTTCTCATGAATATGTTGATTTTCTATACCTAAACATGAAATTTATGCTTTTCTTTTGAAAATTATGGATAGTTATTATTGAAATATGGTTATGGAACCTAGGGAACTACCCTAGGATATATGTTTTTATTTTAAAAAATCCATTTCCTAGGCGACAAGGCGCCCCTTTGTCACCTACTTTCACCTTGGTGCCTTGAAAGCTATGGGTATCTTGGTGTAATGGCATAGTCTTGGGCTGACAAGCCTAAGAATGCTGGTTTGTGGCTTAGAGCAGCTGCTTTGTGTAAAATTCTTCAAAGATTAGGTTTCTATCCAGTCCATTCATATCAAGGCCCTAGACAGCCAAGAGCAACATTTGGTAATGGCCATTGGCCTCTGACTCAAGTCTGTCTTCTTTTGCACGTTATTAATAAATCTCCCTTGATTGTTGTTACTTGTTACTGATAAAAATACAGTCTGTTGTAATGTCTATCAGGAGATACGGTTGAGAAAATGAACCAAACTGATTGGGGGATCCTGAAATTACAGTCTGTTGTAATGCTTTCTTTTTATTTGTATTTGACTGGTTGTTACTTATTTATGAGAAAGCATGGAGTACAATAGTGTAATACATTCTACTAAGGGCGAAAGCCTGAGCTACTTGGCCCAACTGACCCTAGTCATATACAATAGTCGCACAGCTTACCTGAAGGGATGGCTGAGCACAAATTCTTCTGAATCACCAAATCTTTAGCAAGACAATCTGCTATCTCTTTTCATGACCTTCTCATCCATTTGAATGAGGTGTTAATTATAGTGGCTAAAGATCCTTCACCCTTCCTCTGATTAGATGTATGGAATTCCAGGTTCTTCCTCCTTGTTTCTCATCCACTAATTGCTACTTAACAGTCTCCTTCAGATTAGAGTGACTTAAGGTGTAACTCGACTGCAGCCCCTGAAGAAGCGATATGTGCTCATCTTGGATGGAACCCTCTTTCCAATTTATTTTAAGTACAGTTATGATACTTCTTGTGCTTGAGTTCTAACCTACTTATCCTGTGCCTAAATGTGATTCTTGAGTGATCTTTCAAAGGGTTCACTTATGGATTGAAATAGACTTTAGAGAGATCTTCTATGAAGGATCTTACAGTCTTTTCAACTTTTCAAGTGAAAACTCTTCTCATTAATGGCCTTTATTTAGTGGAAGTGGTCCTTACTCTCTAATGAGATTACTTTTATTAGAAATGCCAAGGAAAAGATTGAGGAGGATGATTTGGTTTTAAAAGAAGAAACAATAGAGAGAAACCCAGGGAATCAAATGGTAAAAATCCTACCATCCCACTCATTACAGTTAACTTATCAAAAATACATAATGGAAATGATCTATCCAACTTGAACACTCTTTAACCCTCCTGAATCCAAAATTCAATGAGAAGCTGTTAATAGTAGATTGGAGAGGTTGATGATTAAGGCCACGTTAGCAAACTTACCCATTTATTTTCTTTCAGTGTTTAAGATTCCAGGGAAGGTTTGTAGTAGATTGGAGAGGTTGATGAGAGATTTCCTTTGGGAGCCGGGAGAGGAGAAGAGGGACCACAGGGTTAGCTGGAAGGTGGTGACCAGAAGTAAAAACTATGGGGGTTTGGGGCTTGGGAACATTGGGATAAGGAATTCGGCCCTTTTGGGGAAATGGTTGTGGAGGTTCCCTCTGGAGCAGGAGAAGCTATGGGCTAGAATAGTGGCAAGCATACATGGGCAGGAGCAAGATGGATGGGAAGCTGGAATCAGAGCAAGGGCCACAAGCACTTCACCTTGGAAAGCCATTCATGATTTGCTTCTAGTCTTCTCCCCTCATGTCAGGTATGATTTGAATTAAGGTAATTCCATAAAATTCTGGGAACATATTTGGGTGGGGAATGTGTCTCTTAAGAAACAGTTTCCTTCTTTGTATGCTCTTTTCGAATTTAAAAATGAGCTAGTTTCTTCTTTCATCACCCCTTCTTCTAGTTTGGGGTTTGGGTGGAACTTGGGTCTGAGGAGGGCTGTGAGGGATTCCGACCTTGATAGTATTTCAAGCCTCTTTGAACTTCTTGATAATGTTTTCTTGGACCCTTCTAAGGTGGACTCTAGAATTTGGACGCCTACCCCCACAAGCTCTTTTTCTTGCGCTTCCTTCTTCAAAGTCCTTTGCCAGTCCACCAGTCCTACAACCTCCCCTTTCCCAGTTAGTGAGGTTTGGTGCAGACTGATTCCTCCTAGGGTTGGTAGTTTTTGTTGGGAAGCCTATTTGGAAAGATTCAACACTAGGGATTTGCTCCAAAAGAAGAGATCCAATACTTGTTTGTCACCTCATTGGTGTGTTCTTTGCAAAGCGGGCGGGGAGACTGGTTTTCACTTACTAGTGTCTTGCCAATTTGCAAAGTCAATCTGGGAGTGGGCTTTTTCTCTCTTTGGGTGTAGGTGGAACCCTCCATCAAACTTGCAGAGCCTATTTTCCCCTTCCTTTTTCAGGTGGCACATGAAAAGGGGAAGGACTATGTGAGAGGTCTGAGGGTTGCAGTATGCTGGACATTATGGGAGGAAAGAAATACTAGGATCTTCTTAGAAAATGAGAGAGGGGCTGAAGAATTGAGGGCTGTGATCCACATATGGGCAGTACAGTGGCTGAAATCACTAGAACTATTTGTAGATTACACAGTGGAAGACATGTTGAGAAAGTGGGGCGAGATTGCAAACTGCACTCAGTTCAAACCAATAATAAGGGTGTCCTGGACTCCCCCACTTGCTGGCTTCTTAAAGTTAAATTTTGATGGGAGTTGTAGGGGGAATCCAGGACAATCAGGGATTGGAGGTGTTTTTAGTGATGAGAACGGGGTCATTTATGCCCTGTTCTCAGGCCCAATTGGTGTGGGGGATTCCTTGAGAGATGAGATCTTGGCAGTTATGGAAGGAATTTAGAAAGCCAAGGAGATGATTATCAGGAAACTCATAATTGAATGGGACTCGGAGGTGGTGATAGGGTGGCTGATTAAAGATGAATGCGGTTTATGGAACTACAGAAACAAGTAGAGGAAATTCAGGTGGCTGGTGCGGGAGATGGAATTCAGGATGAATTGGGTTAAGAGATCAGTCTTTAGCTGATGGATTAGCTAAACAAGGGATAGAAAGGGAAGCAGTGTTTTGGGCTAAGCTGTAACTTAATTGTTTCTTTTTCTCTTTTGCTCTCTTTGGAGGGTTTAAGTTGTATTTGGAAGATAGGAGTTCTTGTCTTCCTTGCTGTAAATATTTTGATATTTCAATGAATTGATTGAATATGTTATTGATCAAAAAAAAAAAAAAAGCTGTTAATAGGTCAGGATAGGAGGGAAGAAATAGGTTGAAAACTAATTCACTGGTCAAATAGTACCTCTGTCCCAAAATATGTATAGAACCTAATAAACAATATTTTGATTAATCTGGATTTGTGTCTTGCCGTATATAATCTATACTACTAATAAAAGAGCAAATAACCCCATTTTCTGGACTTTTCATTAGACATTTTTACCCCTTATCTAAGCAACATACAATGGGCATAAAAAAAGGGCATATATGTCATTTACTCTCACTCCAAAAACTGCCCACTTATAACAGTTAATAAACTGCCCACTTTTAACTGTTCAAAAACTGTCCACTTATAACAGTTAAGAAACTGCCCACTTATAACTGTTCAAAAACTGTCAATGAATTGTAAATAGTTTTGTCTTGGAGATACTGTCACGTGCACGTACATGTTTACTAGTTTACTTATAGTCTATATGGATTGTGATGTAGTACCTTAAGACTTTTGACAAGGAAGGATTAATCTTTGTTCTCTCTTCTTTGGCATGCAGTAGGCATTGTGCTCTCCAGGTTTTCCCACGTAATAAGTCTATGATATCTAACCTGGAGCTTACTGCAGTTTGTGATGAGTTTTCCAGATCATGGTCAATTTCATGCATGGCATTGTTTGTCTGTCAAACTCACTTGTATTGGGCTGATGAATCATGCACATTTCATGCAGGGTTCTTCCACTAAAGAAGGCTGCTGAAGAGAAGGCCCAAGCTATACGTGCAGCTGCTGCTTCTGGCTTCAAGTCATTGCTTAGAGAAAAAGGAGACATAAATACAAGTTCTCGTTGGTCAAGGGTAGGACCCTTTGTGCATGGTTGAAATTTATGTTTTTTATTTTTTATTTTTTGCATACAAAGAAAGGAACATGAATTTGTTCTTGATTTTTCCTTTTAATATTGAAGATTTTGTTGCTGTTTTCAATAAGTGAACTTTTCTGAAATCCCATTTCATGTATGAATAAGAATTAAATAGAAAGTCATTTTAGCCGAGTAATTGCCTTTATAAATGAAAAAGAAATACTATTTTTAATTGGAAACTAAATGAGAATATTATTAATTAAATGAGCAAATATTGGAAGAGTATGGTAATATGGAACATGAACAACTTGAAAAAGAAGCAACAAACCCGGGCTCACCGCTCACTGCACACCCTTTTAATGCGTACACCAAATTTCTAATTAGGAAGGACTGACTAGAAATTATGATTAATAAACACAGTGACACATTGCAATATTGTCCTGTAGGCTTTAAGAGTTAATGTTACAAAGTAGAGAATGTGCAAAAGATTCTAATAGATCATTCAAAATGATCTATTACACAAGATAAATCAAAGAAGGAATGCCACATCACATCCAAAAAGCATTTTGAGTTGGCGGAAAGTGGTCTTCGCATCATCTTTGTTAAGTTGGCAATAATACTGCAACTCCACATATCTGCAATGTTTTGCCTAGTCATCATGTTATAATACCATCTTCTGTACTCTATATAGTATTGGTAATGTTCATCAAGGAATATGTCTACTCCAGTAATATTTCGTGTGGTGCCGGGTGCCCATGAAAATGGAAATGTATCATTGAAATATTAGGAAATATGTTGACATTCTAAACTATGGTTTAAACTGTAATGGTTTATTTGTGTTCTAAAGTTTCTGCACCTATAGTATGAAAAATATCTCCCTAAGCTTTCTTCTGTTTCCTTTTTATATTTTAAATTTCTTATGGAATTGGTTAGTACACATCCCCTTTTTGATAAAATAGGTTGATCCCTAATGAAAAGACAAAAATATCAGATTTATCACAGAAGTGAAAATAATGAGGGTGCTAAAAGCAAATGATTCGAGATATCTTTTAAAGCTGCATTGTATCAAAATATGCTTAAAATAAGTTTTATTTGATTATAATTGGTTTCATGAAGTCAACCTTTCTAAAAATTGGATGTGTAAAATCTTATTTGGCTGCCAATTCCCAGTTTTGATGGTCCATCTGGTTTGGTCTGAATTTGACATCACTAGAGGGAAGATAAAACCACAAAATGACCAATAAAAAGGATAAAAAAGTATACTTGCTATAAATGTTGAAATTCAACATTTTTTAACAAGCACTGATCAAAGATAAATAAAAAAGTGTATTTCTGACTGGATTTGTAGAAAGTTGAGAATGATGTCGTAGCTTATGCTTCATGGGTTCATGTACTGGTATCAGTTGTGAATGTGTCCAAGCACCATATCCTCCTGACATTAACGTTTTTACCACTAAAATGAAACATCCATCACCCATATGTCCCTGGTCTCTGAGTGTCAATCTGGGTACCTTGGGGTAAATCCCAGAATCTGGCAAACATCCTAACACAGATTGTGGCTTGTAACATTTTCAGAAGCTAATGTAGTTATAAGTTTATAGCAAATACATAATATCCTTCTGATAATAAGAGTCACTATTGGTTTTGTTATGAGATCTTCAGAAGAACGTGTAGTGTAGTCTAGATCAAATCGTATTTATATCATTGTATATCATTGTGCTTGTATTTTGTTGCTTTGCTTTCATTTTTGTATTTTAATCAGAAATGTATGACTTGTCATTGGTGCAGGTTAAGGATAGTTTAAGAAGTGATCCAAGATATAAATCTGTTAAGCATGAAGATAGAGAGCTTTTATTTAATGAGTACATATCAGAATTAAAAGCTGCAGATGAGGAAGCAGAACGGGAAGCAAAAGTGAAGAGGGAAGAGGAGGTAAGTGTATGGTCTTGTATATACTGTCAAAGAGATATGATAGTTAGATGCTAATGCACTTATTACAAGTGCATTATGATTGAGTAGTGGTTGATTATTATGGGATTTGGAAAACTATGATGCATACATGTTTGTGTGTTAGTGCATGCTCATGTACACACTCCTATCAATGTCCCATCTTTTTTTTTTTGTGATATCTTTTGAAGGACTACACAAGGTGTTTGAGCAATGATTAGGGCATGAAACTAGTGTAAAAGACAATCAATTTGTATACATGCCACAGAGATCAGCTATGGAAGATATCTTGATATTTGTTCATTTGGAAAATCATATGATTGGGTCCCTAGAAAAGTCATCTGGTGGGTTTTCAACTACAATGGTTCACAGCAAGGCTAAGATAGCCTTTTGCATTAATTGTGGATGAACTAATTAGACATTTATATGAGGAGATCCAATGGCGTATGTTTACTGATGAATGGATTAGGCATTTATAGGTGGAGGTCCCATGGTGTATGTTGTTTGGTAATGATGTAGTATTGATTGATAAGACTAAAGAGGGCTGAATGCATAGCTAGAAAAATTGAAAGGTATTTTATATTTGAAAGGTTTTGAGATAAGCCGGATTTGGAATAATGAATTTCTATTTTAGTAGAAATATTAGTAATAATGGTAGTGCAATTAAAATTGATGATGAGAAGATAAACTAAACTGACCTCTCTGGTACCTTACAAAAAATTAGTAAAGCTGCGATGATGATGTTGAGATGGATAGGTGGAAAGAGTAGGAAGGATAGAATGAGAAATAAGTGCATCATGCATTGGACATATCCACCGCTTGGTTGGGTTGGGCATTTGTTAAATTTTGAATGTGCCAGAACCCTAACCCATTACCAATGTTGTTGAAGCTCTTCAATTTAGGCAATCAGAGTTGCAACCCTAGGTGGTTTTACTTGGGCAAAACATAACGTAGGATTGTCTACATGTACTTTGAGAATGTACACAGGTCTTAATTGCAGTACCTATCAATAAAACGTGCTTCCACTGATTCACCCCCCTTCAAGCACAAAATGTAATTCACCAAGTGGTCTGGATTGGTTGTAAGCTTTTTGTCCCTGTGGATGCTTACAACAAGAACAATGCGGATTGATTGTAAGCATTCTGTTGTTTTGGATGCTTACAACAGGTAACAGTTTAGATTGGTTGTGAGCATTCTCTTCATGTGTTTAAAGATGTCTAAGACAATTAATTATCAAACTGTCAAAAGTTCATATAATGTGCATACAAATGTACAAGAATATGTATCTGACATCTTTCTATTGATTATCAGGATAAACTGAAGGAAAGGGAGAGAGAAATGCGGAAACGGAAAGAAAGAGAAGAACAAGAAATGGAGAGAGTGCGTCTGAAAGTGCAAAGAAAAGAGGCAGTTGCTTGTTATCAAGCTTTACTCGTAGAAACAATTAAAGATCCTCAGGTACATTTAGAGTCTGTTCTATTTCAGTGATGGGGCTACTGATGTTAGCAATGGTTGCCAATTCAAGAGTGTAGCTTCTACCTTGTTCAACGTGTATCCAGCAATTTTGAAACAAGGTTACTAAGTGAGGTCTGAGTTAATTTTGTGCATGAGTGGCAAATGATTCAAAATTGGCATGGATTGGAAAACAAAAATGTTGCATTTTGATTTTATCTGTTTTCCTCTCGACACAGACCTTTTCACTGGTTGCTTTTCGCTTGTAATGAATTTTACAGAAAGATTAATTTTTTATGCTGCCTGTTGTACCTCAATTTCTGAACTTTGATGAACTCCTAATTTAAACATTTCCCAACACTGCTTTGTAAATCAATATTGATTAACAATTCTATGCTTAAGCTTGTTAAATATGCCTGACTTGACCATCTTAAATGGTTTATTGGTCAACGGACGAGGACACAAAGTGTCATGTCTTGGTCTGGTGCTCATGGATTCTTGAGGGCACTTCTACATAACATTTCCTTTTTATCTCCTAGCTTATTTGACATAATTGAACAGATAGTCTATGAGATAAATCTGCTTTTTGTATATCGGGGGGGGGGGGGCTTTAACATGGTAAGATTTTCTCTTGAGAAGAAAGGGGGTTGGGGAGAAGTGGGGGAATGAGAAGTTTTCGCCAATTTATAAATAAATGGGGGCTGCTTGACCTACCTTAGTTGGAGGCCAATTTCATCTGCTCAACTAACTAGGAAGATCCTATTTTGGTGAAGTTGGGTTCATTGTGTCCTTGGATTGGGAGGACAGATTCCCAAATTTGACACAACAATCCCTGCCTGAACCTCAATTGGGTCGTACCCAATAATGTTGGATAGTGGGGGCCTGCTGGTGTAAAAAAATTCCTTTTAGCTTTGAGCATTGTTAGCTGGAAGAAGTCTTTGTGGAGTTGATGCATCAATGGCAGATAGAAGGATCAGTCATGTATTTGCTAAAAAGCTCCATATGTTGAAAGAGAAACTAAAAATAAGGAGAAGGAAGTATTTTTGGGTGTTGAGTTAGTTAAAAGGAGTGTTTGGACATATCTGCTGAAGCTGATGGAGCTGAGGAGCAAAAGTGGACTTTGATAGGGTGGAATACCAAGAGGAATTTAAATGGAGACAATGGTTCTGTTGTTTGCGACTTGAAGGGGACCAAAAAACAGCATTCTTTTACTGTATGGCTAGTGGGAGAAGAAAGGAGAATCTTATTAGAAAGCTGGAGGTGGATGGGGAGTTAATCGGGGCCAGAGTTATTCGCCAATAGATTGCTGCTTAAACACAGATTTGCTGGCTGGGCTTGATGGAATCACGATGCCTTTCTACAAGAGATGTTGGGGCTTTTTGTGATCCCTTCTTCCCTCTCTTATTCAATTTTTGTCAGAGGCAATAAGTGCTCGGTAGAGTAGTAGGGGGGGGTGTCTCTTTTTCAAATTTTCTGATAACACTTTTTTTTTCCGCAAAACGGCTTAGGACCATATTGAATTTAAGCTTCATTTTGAAATGGTTTGAAGCTGTTTCTGGGCCCAAAACCAATATACTAAAAGGTGAATTAATAGCTGTGGGAGGAGCAAATGTGCATATGCTTGCTGGGTCTTTTGCTTGTAAGGTTGGGAAGCTGCTGATGAAATAAATATGTTGGGCTGCCATTGGGGGAGAGATGCATCTCAAAAGATGTATGAGAGCTATGGTGGAAACGATGGAGAGAGGATTGGCTTGGTGGAAGGCCAAATATCAATCTAATGTGGAAGTGTGCTCTAATACATTCTGAGTTTTCTTCCAATTTATGTGATACCTCTTTTCCATATTCCAGCTAGTGTGGCTGGGGTTTTAGAAAAGAAGATGAGGGACTTCCTATGGGAGGGATGGAAGGATGAGTATAAAATGTATTTGGTTAATTGGAACGTTATTCTAGAAATGGTGGTGGGTTTGGCATTAGAAAAATGAAATAAGGCTTAGTTAGGCAAATGTTACTGGAGATTTAATGAAGACGTTGACAGTCTTTGGAGGAAGATTATTTATGATATGTACTATTCTAGAGGTGGGGCATGGGACCCGGATGATATTAGGCGCAAGCTATGGTTGTGCTCTTTGGAAAGAGATTTATGATATGTACTTTCAGAGGCATTATATATGGGATTGGTGGTGGAACTAGAGTGAGGTTTTGACTGGATCCATGGTGTGAGGAGCATGCTTGTGGGAGCTGTTCCCTTCCTTGTTTGTGGTGGCTCAGAACTAAGAGACTATGGTGGTTGATATGTTTGTTTATTACAGAAGTGCTGGGGCATTGAGTCCCACTTTTAGGAGAAACCTAAATGACTGGGAAATGGACAAATTTTTGGATCTATTGCAGAAAGTAATTTCAGTTGGCCCGAGTTTGGAAGTGCACTAAATATGGTATTTTCTAAGTTAAATCATTTTATAAAAGTTTTGCTGGTTCTGGGGAGGCTTATTTCCCTTGGGCCAGGATCTGGCACATGGTTGCTCCTGTCAGGGTTGCCTTTCTGTTGTGGACTGTTGAGTAAAACAACTGTTTGACTACAGCCAGTTTAATGAGATAGGGATTCTTGGTTTGGTTGATATTGTCGGATGCACTTTGTGGAATTAGAGTTTGGAGTTGATGGATCACTTGTCTCTTCATCGCTGTTTTGTATTTGCAGTTCATAGATGTTTTGGGGGTACCCCTTATGTTTTATATTTGTCTCTACATCTTGCTGTAGGAGGGATAACTGTTTGTTCTTTTTGATTAATACAATGCTTTAACTTTTCAAAAAAAAAAGTGATAAAAGCAGCATATTTTGTTGCTATGTAATCTTAGGAAGTTAGAATTCAAAATATATGAATTTATTTTAGTAGTATGTACTTTTCCATAGACATTTCTTTGAGTCCATGCTTTTTCATCTTACCGATTCAGACTCTTGGACACACATTTATTCTGACTCCCATGTCTGTGTCTGTGGTCCATGCAATACCGCTTTTGAGATGCATAATTGGCAGCTTGTTTCTTTCTTATTGGGCCTGTTTTATTTCTTACTGTTACTATTTTTTATTTCTTATTATTTTTGGGCTTTCATTCTTTTATTAGTCAGTCTATGGGTTAGGTGGCTAATTAGTTATTATCATTACAGATCTAAATTCCCCTTTAGTTAATTTAATCTTTATTTTCTGCTGTTATCAAGAAAGTCTACTTGGTTCCATAGCTCCGTTCAATCCTTTTACATTTTTTTTTCATGTAGACTCGAGATCAGCTATCTGCATGAGGGATTGAATGAGCTGATTGACTGCTTGTTTGAGGCTTGGTTTCGGAGGGTTTTTGGAGTACCAGTCAGTGGTTGGTTGGTTTGTAAAGGTTGGTTCAATGATTGTTTCCCAAGAATCAAGAAACCAGAGAAAAACTCTTGTCTGATCAGATTGGCCAAGGTAAAGATCAATCTGCTGTGGTGCTTGGGTGGTATTAGATCGGTTTTGATCTTTTTTAGTGTGTTACATTTGGGATTTTTTCTTGGAACTTTTGAGTGAGTGGCTGCAATTCTCCCTTTTTGAAGGATCTCAGCCAGTCTTCTATGTAAGCCGGTTGGTTGTTTTTACACTATTGTTGCAAATGGAAGCCTTAGGAATTAATTACAGAGATCCCTGCTTCACTGTAAGCACTCCTGGAGATGGGGTGAATACCCAGATCAGTACTATGAAGTTGGATGGTGACATTTATATGTAATGGGTCTCCATCAGCATGGATGTCTCAGTGATTTAAAAGGAGTGAATACCCAGATCAGTACTATGAAGTTGGATAGTGACATTTATCTGTAATGGGGCTCAATCAGCATGGATGTCTCAGTTATTTAAAAGGTGCGCCTAGGCGCCTAGGTCTTAGGCGCAGCCCTTTCAAAAGGCACGCCTAGGGCTGATGTGCCTTGTGCCTCAGCCTCAGCCCAGGCATCCACTCCGGTTTGCACGCTTCGCTCACTCATAGAAGCTTCGAGAGCCCCCTATTTGGTAATGTTGTTCATTCATTCATCCTAATAGAATATCATCTTAAAAAGCAATTAAAATTATAAAATCATTATTTTTTTGTGAGAACTAAGAAGTTAAGGCCCTAACATGGACTTGTTTGGGCTTGCCTTGAGGGGCTTGGCACAAAGGTGGCTCATAGAATCAGGAATATAATATGTTTTACATCACATTAGCTACTTGAAATAATGCAATTGAGGAAAATGTTGTATATGTTTGATTTCATTTTTAAATTCTCATTTGAATACGCTCAACATGTTATGTTTATGTATTTTAATTTTAGATAATAGGTTTTTTAAAACATTTATTTAAAATTTAAGTTTATATTTTTATTAATAATATGTTTAATATTTTTTTATTTTTTTACACTTTTTTGATTTTTTTTTGGCATTTTTTGATTTTTCTAACTTTTTATATTTTTTAGGATATTTTTTTTTTGCCTTGCTTCAAAAAGGCGCACACCTTGCCTTACGCCTTGCGCCTCGGGCGCAAATTGGCCCCTGCGCGTTGCGCTTTTAAAACATTGGGATGTCTGTAGGAGGAAATAGCAAGCTTGGTTATCTGATAGGGGCTGAAGCTGAACCTGACTCTTAGGGTCCTAGTCATGGAAGTTGGTGTAATAGAACTTACTTGCCACGTCATGGTTGGTGATTTTCTAAGTAAAAATTTTATTTTTACTATCCGAAAAGAAATCATTATTTCCCATACTTCTCTACCTTGAAATTTCTGTAGCAAGAGATAGTTTGTTTAGAAATTTCTGAGTGGTCGTGCTTTAAACTTTTAAATTCTTTGCAAGATTGAATCTTGAATATGATATCACTAGGCAAGATATTCTTGTTAGGGATGATATTTCTGTATCTCAAGCATGCTATCTTGTTCATGGTGAATAGAATGAGAGAAAGACTTTTTTGGGGGACTTCTACAAATCATACAGCTGTTGTTACATTTCAGCCTACATTTCCT